GAAAATTCTTTGAGACTTTAAGGATTCGATTATAAAAAAGAGTACGCACTTATCTAGACCGCTTTAATAGATACGAATTTTTGAATGTACCCTTACATCTCCAAAGCTTTAGAGAAAAATTGACATATGTCAAAAAATCTGACAGTTAAGTGCGCAAATCTTAAAAGCATTGAATTGAGAGTAAAATGGCGCATTTTGAAAAAATAGGAGATACACTACAGAGTCAACCAAAATAGGACACACTGTACTCTGCACTGTACAGTGTGGTCCAATTTCGATGAGATTAAATGGGTAACTTTCTTATTAGCGCAGATAAACGAAAACGGTTTACGTATTCCATGACCTTTGGCAGAAATAAGCTGCCGTCTTTTGTTTTTTCCCTAGAGAGAAAAACTGGAAAATGGTCGATTCCTTCAATTTGTCGTAACTCCTTTATTTTTGAGACTAGGACAAAATGGCTTTAGCATTACTCAGGCACTTTTTAACGTAGAAATCAATGCTGACAGTCGTTTGTTTCTAGACCTTTTAGTAACGGCGCTACAACCAAGCCCCAGGCTATGTTTTTTGCGCATTGGGCTACATTTAGCTCGGCGCACCCGTAACTAATGTGTTTAATTGCGTACTTACTGACTGCGCTTCATAGTGTTATTTACCTGTATTGATTTGGAAACAAAATGCCCCAAAATTCACAGATGAGAGGAATGTCCCACTGGAAAACATAAACAGCTTTTTACTACAACCGTGGAATGATAAGTACCTAAATTAATTTTTACAAAAATTATCCACAATCCCAGATCTAACTTGCAAATAATGAAAAAAATATAGTTTAGCACATCTTGCCGTCAGGAACCCGGACCCAAATGAAATATCGGTTCCGGTTCTGTTTATATTTAAGCGAAAATATTTATAACGGTTCCGGTTCTAAAGAAAAAATAACGGTTCGGTTCAGCGTATTCCATAACGGTTCTTTTCGGTTCTAGTTTTTTTAAAAGTATGGCATTCTAAAAATTGATTATAACAACATGATTTGTTCATTTAATACCTAGGTGTGAAAAAGAAGTAAAGTCATGAATACCAAAACGTGACGTATCGTCAGTGTATCTAATTTACAACCACAAGGGGAATGAAGGAGAGAGAGGGAAATATATATTTAAACTTAATTTATTAATAAAAAACAGAAAAAATACACAAAAACTTGTGTAAAAAATTAAGTATGGAGCATTGTTTGTTATTTTTATTTTCTAAAACCTCGCTCCTACTTTTGTTATTTCATTTACAGTAGTGGCTAAATTACCGCCACCGCCACCCGTACTGCATTCAATTTCGACACCTTATTAAACATTTACAATCCACCGATGGCAATCATAGAGTGGCTATTTTGCCCATTTTCAGGACATGTTTGCCGGTGCGTCTTTCAACTTCCAATACTCTGTTAAGAACCGTAAAAAACCGAAAAGTTCTGAAGGAATAACGGTTTCGATTCGGTTTTCGGTCCTGAAGAAATACCGGTTTCGGTTCTTTGTCGGTCCGGTCCGGGTCCCTGCTTGCCGCCCCCCGAAAGTGACGCCCTGGGCTATAGCCCAGTTATCCCATTTATAACCCGCGACCTGGCTGCAACTCAATGTTGAGATGTTAATAGAAATTGTAGTAAACCATCTTTTGTTATTTGCTTTCAGACAATGTGTATTAATAAGCAACATTTATTGTTGAAAACTTATTATTGAAAATAATTATAATATTATATACATTTTGGGAAAGCTCGTAAAACAATAAATCTTTTAAAACCATTGGTAAACTGTTACTTCCATTTAAAAAAATCAACTTTGAGTTACAACGCAGTTACTAAAATGACTATACAAACAAACGACTGACGGCATTGATTTTATAGCTTCAATAATAAAGGAGTTACAGCAGCAGTAATCTCTAGTGAAAAAATCAAAAGACGTCATCCGCGTATTTCTGGCAACGGTAATGGAATAAGCATGAAAAAAGAGGTCACAAGTACTTGAACCGTTTTCGTTTATATGCGCTAACTAGAAAGTTACTCCCATTTAATCCCATCGAAATTGGACCACACTGTACATTACATTCAAAAACCATGCCAAAGAGATATGCTCTTTGGCGATGAGCGAAATGAAATGATTTAATAATTTGGAATGATGGTCCCCGAAGAATTTATCCCCATCAAGGTGCAAAAATTTGTGTGTCAAATGCCGAATGAAATTATGAATTATGAAATTATGGAAAGACCTGCAAGGGGTCTGTGATCGCTACCGTGGAATTGGATAAAGCTTTATAATGGAAGGGGGGAAGAGTTTCCTAAATCGAGTCGTATAATTACATGATTGATTGTATTTCATTAACAAATGACATAGATGTGTGAAAGTCGTGGGTTAATTGTGAATGAATTAGTCAAAACGTCCGCACCTCTGGTAGTACCGGTACAGCACATCTTCCTCTTTGGATTAGCGTTTGCAGTGCGTTAGAATTCTACGTCGACATCATTTTACATGTAAACCACGGTACTAATTAAACAGGTTGGTTTATGCACGTCACAGGTGTCAGAAATTTGTATTGCGGCTCATTAGTGTTTCATATGAAAATTGCAATTACCATAAAACCTCCTAATTAACACCTAAGATGGAATCGCTATGATAAGTACACGCATGAATCACACCAGATCCATTCCTAAATGGATTTAAACGTAAATCTGGTTACGGTACCAAAAACCTGACACGTTATCAATGCTAAATCGATAACATTAGACATTACAAACATTTTAGTTGACTTTCAATAATCGTTCGTGAAGTATGTGCGTTAATGTGCTCAAGTGTAATAAACTACTATGAAACTTGGATGTGTTCAAACGTAAGTCTCGTTCTAATTACATTTTATAATTGAACGTACTTGTAATGGTTAGGTTGAAAGGTGTGCAAAATTAAGGGGCGGTCGTCTATAACTTCAATCTTCGTGCTCACTGTAAATACTGGTTGTTAAACATCACTTATTGCAACGCTTATTGGCTAATCAATGCGAGAAAATTTTTCCCTTCTGGAATTTTGGATTTCCGAAGCATATAATTGTGATAACTGCGCGATAATTCGATATTACGCTCGACTGGCCACCATGATTACGAACAGGTGTCTAATGGCATCCCTTAAATCAAAACGTAATTACTCACGACCTGCAACCCAACGACCTGCGTAATTGGCCAATAATTAATTGTACTTTCTTCCCTAGGAACCTTGATAACCGTGACAACTGCTATACATAATCTGTCATTAATCAATTAAAAAATATGTGCAAACGCCCGTTCTAATTAAGCTCGCGATTTACAATTCAAATTACCCACTTAAGTTTTTTTCTTGTCTAATGCTAAATTACTTGTTAATAATTTTTGCCTTATTGTTTATACATACACAATAATGAGAACACTTTCTAAATGGAATCTCTGTATTTCCTTTGTAAAATAGAATTTCTCCACTTATAATATTGAAAAATATTGCGGCCCATTAACTTTATACGTTCATTAATACCGCCGCCTAAAAACTGGAAACGATTTGAAAATCGCAATTGACATTGAACTTTCGTCAATTAATAAATGGTCCAGATAGGAACCGTAAAAGTGGGACTGCAAAATTTGGTTTGTCGAACCGGATCCTTTAATTGCAAATAAATTTAATCAAATAATTTGAGGAATTTCTTCGACAATCGTACGTTAACCGGTATTTGTCATTAGTCTCTTAATGTTAATAAGTTATTATAATGCAAAATATTTTTTCATTCCGGGAGGAAAATTACAGTATAAATCATGTGGTTAAGCAAAGGAAATTAAAAAAAAAACAATGCATTACAATTAATGGCAGTTTAGAAGACATTAAGCATACAATTAGTGTTGGATTTCCAAGCAATAAATGTTAAAAGCGCTAGGGCGGCGCTTTAGGGTGTCAATAAAGTTATTATTATATAATTACGCGGTCATTACTGTGAAAAAAACAACTTCGGATCACCACGCTTGGTATGCATTACTTCCGTAAAAGAAGAGCTTTTCGTTAATTTCTAAGCACGTACGCCGCTTTTCTGAACATGTTTATGAATTTCACACCTTTTTAGTGTATAACAATGTTATTAATGGTGCAATTGTGTTTTATTTATGGCATTTACACATATTTCCGCACAATTTACCATTATGCAAGTATGTGAAGGCGTAGTTTTACCTAAAAGAGCGCTCTGTGAATAAAACCGACCTTTTTTGCACAATACGTATCAATTAAATCCAAAACGGGAAACGGTTTTGATTTATTATGGCGATTAATTAATATCGAACTGTGCAGATAACAGAAAAAGCGAATTTCCCATACATGCCTCTACGTTTCCGAAAACCGTCATGTACCTAAAGCGTACACATGATAAATTAAATGAAGCTTCTGATTATCTACCTTTCCGATGAATCTACCGCAATTAATGTTGAAATTAGCAATCAATTACAGGCATCCTCATAACTTAACACGCGAAGTGTAATTAATTAAAATTTTTATCCGTCACCTTTATACCTATCTAAATATCTACGTCGGTAGGAATTATTAATAAATTTTATCCTCGAATATTCTAAGCATTTATGGCAGCCAAAGAACTACAACGAGAATCAGAGCGGAATTTCTTCTGCCCTAGCCTCGCATTGAAATCTCCCCGATCGAATTTAACACGTCGCCTTGTGGTTAGCACACGACGTCCCATTAAAATGTGGGTCAGTGCGATCCCTTAGAATTACTTCCGTTACCCGACCGATCCGAACATATTTTAACGTTTTCCCATGATTAATTAAGAAGCACTTACGTAAGATTGTACACACACGGATCGCAATTGAAGTAATTAAATTGATCGTGTCTGGTAATACAAATGTTCTTTTACCTATTGAAAAATACCACGAATCAGTTTAATTGTTTATTGATTGCGGACTCATTTAATTACCCACGCTTGACTATTCGATTTTGTTACAGGAATGTCCTAAGTTGGTGCGTTCCCAGCCAACATTGGATAAATCACGACTACTCTAAGGTAAGCGAATCCACAAAAAAAACGCCTTATTTAAATATGGGTTAATGTTATTAGATCGACGTAATAAATAATAGCCGGGCCCGAGGGCCTTTTTTAATTGGTTTATTTGGTTCCGTTTTTTGTGTTTCTTAATTATATAGTTCGCAATTAAGATTGTTGCAATTGGTTTTAATGTTCGCGCATACTCTGAAATTATTTCGGAAAACGTTATGCACTGATAGTAACGGTAATTTAACGATAATGACATTCCTTTATATCTGATACGGCTCTTATTAAGTAATGCATTTCAATTTGTACTTTATTTGAAGAAAGTTAATTTGACATAAAAATAGCATTAAGGAGCATAACATTTAAAATGTTTCATTACAATTTATTGCTTGTACAAACTAATGGATTACACGAACAAAATCGTGTTTTCCATCTAATTTATTATTATGAAGATATTGCGGCAACGTATTCGCAAAAAAAATGTTATAGGAGTAGAGGTAGTTTCTCTCGAGAACTATTTTGTGAAGTAATGCTACCGGTGTACAAATGTTAATGTCAAAGACTTCGTCACAAAAAAACGCTGATGGAATATTTCAATTTGATTGCAGAAGAAGACCAATTCTAACCTCACTTAATTTAATATTGTATTACCTATAAGAACGCTCATTCTATTCCTTAAAAGTTTAACATCTTCGTAGTGTGGTTCCATATCTCGAGTCAACTAGGGGCTCACCATATAAAAGGAAGAAAGACTTGATGTTAGATTTTACCCTGTTTACAAAAATTACCTGATTGGATATTTCATGACTAATGTTTCCGAAAATTGTTTGTTAGGGGTTAAAGCGCTTTTGGCCCATTTTTTTGTAGCAGCAATTCGGACGTTTTGTCCTTTCTCGGTGGATCTATGACAACTTTTTTTTTCGTTGATTTTAGAGACATTTTGAATGGTTTTCCACCCATACTTTGTGTTGCGTTGGTACGATTGTCGCGTTTTAAATCATTATTGAATTCTACGAGTCAAAACCTTATTAATTAGGACTCCCTAATACACGGTGAACATTTTCTCTGGTATATTCAAAACAAGGCTATTTTTAAAAAAAAACTGTATGGTATCCAAAAATGATAAACAGTTTTCTACCAATGTACGTACTTTAGATTTGTTGCCAGGTGTACTTCTACATGGTGAAGGGGCGTATTTTTTTCAATGGCAACTGCTAGTTTTCGTTACATATTGTTAAAGGGTGCACTTTTTTGGATATCACACAAACCAATTTTAGAGAAAAACTCCAGGAAAATCGTTGTATGTGTGTGTTATAATTTCACTAGTTTGCATTAAAAAACGTTATTCTATTGTTAAATATTTCAAGCAATTTATTGTATCAACATCCTTAAAATTTTATAAGTAAATTGATATGACTAGAAATTATTTACAGTGGCGTGCGTCTACCGAACTCAAAGGGTCACTATTTTAATCGAAAGCACTATTTTTGGTGAGGTAATATTAAAGAATGAACCTTTTTCTAATGTGGTATCATAAAGAAACATGATTCAAGTATTCCCCCCTTAACCATGCAGAAGTACGTCACTGACCACTAATTGAAAGTACGTAGATTGGTAACAATTTTGTTGTAATTTTGGGCACTATAAAAAGTTTCTTTAAAATCAATGTTCTCTTGAAGGTATATCCGGTGTTCCAGACAAAATGTTCACCCCGTATATACGAACATTACCATATGTGGGGCGAGGCGGTTTGGGATAGTGGGATGCGATTAGCGAATCTAAGCGCACATTATGAATACAGAATAAACATCAGAAATATGAGATGCGGAGGAAGCAAAGAGTTTGAAGAGAAGGAACGAAGGAAGCACAGAAGAAAGATGCACTTTACCGACGAAATGAGTCAGTGGCGTATTTACGGGGGGGGGGGGGGGTGAAGGGAATATATCCCCCCCCCAGAAGAATTGCGTTATCATCATAGCTATTAGGTATTTAGGTAATACTCCGCTATCCGCTCCGCCCACTTTAAAATAAAGGCAATAATATATAGAGAGCAATTTTGGTTTTGGTTAAAGTCTAAAGTCACTAAAATCTAAATATTCTGTAGTATTCAGTATTCACTATTCAGTGAGTGATCAGTGTTGGCAGTCAACGATTTGGCTATTCGGCATCGATCGGCAATTCGCTACATTGATGCCCAAAATAACAAATAGGTATCAGGTACTTAGTACTGCTACTGAGGTGAGGTACCTGCGTCCTGCCTTTCACGAAATGACGAAAATAAGAATTTTAAATTTTAAAAACAGGAATTTTTTTGCCCATAACTTTTGATTGAGACGTCTAATCGAAAAAGTACGAATCGTTTTGGATTCTACGCACCCAAATTAATAAGAAAAAGTTTTTTCCCTAGAAATTTTGGTGCAGTCGATTTTTGGTAAAAAAGGAAGGTAATAACTGCCTTTTTTTTGCCCAGAAAAAAAAATTGTCTCAGATCGACCGGAAAAAAATATTTTCTTATAGAATGTGGCCTGTAGAATCCATAATTCCAAACAGTTCCAAGATCGGACTACTAGATCAAAAGTTACAGCCCTTTGAATTTTTTGTCGAAATTGGTTTTTTGCCCATAACTTTTGATTGAGACGTCTAATCGAAAAAGTACGAATCGTTTTGGATTCTACGCACCCAAATTAATAAGAAAAAGAATTTTCCTGAGAAATTTTGGTGCAGTCGATTTTTGGGAAAAAGGGAAGGTTATTATACACTGCCTTTTTTTGAGCCTCGAAAAAAAAATTGTCTCAGATCGACCCGGAAAAAAAATTTTCTTATAGAATGTGGCCTGTAGAATCCATAATTTCAAACGGTTCCAAGATTGAGTTACTAGTTCAAAAGTTACAGCTTTTTGAATTTTTTTTCGAAATTGGTCTAGTCTATAACTTTTGATTGAGCAGTCTGATCGAAAGAGTACGAATTGATTTGGATTCTACGCATCCAAATTAATAAGAAAAAGTGTTTTCCCGAGAAATTTTGGTGTAGTCGATTTTTGGTAAAAAAGGAAGGTTATTATGCACTGCCTTTTTTTTGCCTCGAAAAAAAAATTGTCTCAGATCGACCGGAAAAAAATATTTTCTTATCGAATGTGGCCTGTAGAATCCATAATTTCAATCAGTTCCAAGATCAGACTACTAGATCAAAAGTTACAGCCCTTTGAATTTGTCGAAATTGGTTTTTGCCCATAAATATACCTATTATTCAAAGTTTTCGTTGACTAATTAAAGCAAAAGGGGCATGTCAGCAGTAAGAAATAAAATACCGTTCTAATCTAATCTTTTTCGCCTGTACAATAAATAGATAAATGACTACCAGCATCAGCAACCTGCAACCCAATTTCTATTTCTTACCCCCCCCCCTTCTAGTACGCACTGGGTGACTGTTAGTATAATTATAATGGTTTATTGTCCAAACAGAATAGTTCCATAAACTAGGACAATATTAGGTAAGATATACATGTAGTGCGAATAATAACCGAAAAAAAAGAAAAACTTTAAGCATGACATAAGTGAAAATAAAAAAAAATTGAGAATTATTATTTTAGTTAATTAACGGAATCTAATAATATACTAAGGGTGGTATTAAATATAGCGAAGGTAGATCGAACCTTTCTAACATGATATCATTAGAATATCCTCTAATTGAATATTATCCATCCATACGAAAGCATAGTATGTGCCACGAACTTGTTTAATCCCCCCCCCCCAGAATAAATTTCTACGTACGCCACTGAAATGAGTCTTCAATAAAAAAGGATAGGACTCACTGTTCGAGATTTAGCGTAAACAAATTTACACGTTCTTTTTACCGTCGCGAAAACTAACAGCTAGCAACAGAGACCGCGTTCTGACGTTAATTCCAGTATTTAAGGAAACGCTACTTCCATTATCAAGTAATCTCCTTCTTCGGAATTTTCAAAAACACCGCCAATTACAATTAAATTTGAAAAAGCCAGCTTCGAAGTTCCGCCGAAAATTTCGCGCACAACTTAAGACCCCTTATCTATAAACAGCGACAAGAGCACGTGCGTTAATTAATTTCCGTTAAAAACTCCTTATCGTAAATGACCAGATGTCCCTACACGTTAACACGTAATTTACAACACTTCCATTAGGCTCACCAGGAGAGAAATGTCGGTCACTAGTGCACTTGATACCGGTAATACCACCCATATCCACCCCAAATAATGAGTGTATAAAAGTGGGAAGCGTTCCTTCATTCACATAAAATGCAAAGTTTTGATTTATTGTCGACCTTAATGCTTCATCTATTGCGTGAAAGTGATAATTATTAAATTAGGCTAAGCCCATAAATCCTATAATCCCTGTCACTGCGATTATTTGTAAAAAGAAATTTTGTAAACGTTTAAGTGTTATTTTTATGTTTTCTTAAAATCCTATGTAAATTAGCGAATAAAATTGAAGATTATAACCGGCAAATAAACATCTCAGGAAAGATAATGAATTACTCGATTTCGATAGTATACTAATGTCTTTCATTTCTCAGTTTCCTTGTTTTTTGACGTGCCAGGTGTCTTTTACCGTTTGCCTCTACATTCTCTCAAGGTAAAGAGGAGATTTCCAAAGGTTTTTAAAAAATTTATTTAGGATGTATGCTACTGTAACCAGTTCGTTAACCTAATCACCGTGATTGGTCGAATTTTTTGTGAAATCCTAAACGACTTCGTCGCAAATTAAACAAAATTTACAAAAAAAAATGCAATGAAATTAGTTTTAAAAGTCTCTTACAACATTCGCATAAAAAACGAATGAGGACGACAGCTAAAAAATCGAGTATAAGCACGGAACGTATAGCGTATGCTAACTAATGAATATAATTAAAGAAATTAAAAATGCAAGGAAACCATTAACTTGCAAGAAGATCTTAACATGCATGTAATGTGGATAATTAACCGCTTTCAATTTGAATTTAAAGATTTCCCGTGTTTGACCTGGAATTAATAACAT